ACCAGGAACAAGAGGTACCTAAGCCAAAATATTGGTGAGTGATGTCTGGTTCTTATTCTGAAAGGGACGTCAGGACCCTAAGTGTGGGATTACAAATCCTCTCTGGGCAGGCCTCCCAGATGCACCCCAGTAGCTTCCTTTACAAACCTGGGATGAGGGATTAAAGAATGAAGGGAGACAGTATATCTCTACTTCTCCTTGTAGGGGTGGCTATATCCTATACCCTCAGGTGATAGAATTCTGGCAAGGCCAAACGAACCGCCTGCATGACCGAATTGTCTTCCGGCGTGGCCTCCCGGCTAGAGATTCCTCTTTGGGGCCCATGACTCACCGTGGTGAAGAAGACTGGCTCTATGAAAGACTTGCACCTTGATTCTGGAGCGGCAGGGTGTTAAGAGAGTGCGTGGGACTGTGGGACATCGAAGAGATTTCAAACGAGATCCTCTTAGGAACTGCCTAAGAGCAAAGGAGCTGTTCAATCTCAGCTAATCAGGAATTTTGCAGATGAGGCGCACATCATGGCTGCTATCTATAAGCCAGGAAGATTTTAATCCAACTACTGTTCGTGTTCTTAGTGGAAATTTTATGTGTGAGTGTACATACAAATACATGTATTTTATCATTCAAATATAAAATGAAATCATAAGCCAGGTGCTGGTGGTTCATGCCTGTAATGCTGAGATCTCACAGGCAAGAAAGCCTATGAGACTCTTACTTCAAATAACTACCAAAAAACTGGAGCATGAAAAGCTCAGGGACAGTGCACAAGCCCTGAGTTCAAGCCCCAAGACCAGCACCAAAAAAAAAAAATTAAAGAAATTGGTAGTTCAGACCAGGAGATTTCCTGATGTAGATCACTAGACTTCACACACTGGAATTACCAATGATTAGCCGACCTGAGTGCAGCTTTGGTATTCAGACCTTAAAAGACACCCCTGCCCAGGAAATCTGTGCAACCAAGATCAAGACTTTCTGATCTGGAATCTTTGCTACTTGTCTTTGGCCTAGCCAATGTTACTTGGGGAGTCTGTTAAAGATGCAGATCCATCCAGGTGTAGGTGGCTCACGCCTATAATCCTACCTACTCAGAAGGCTGAGATCTGAGGGTCACAGTTTCATTTGAAGCCATTCCAGGTTGACAAGTCCAGAGAGAGAACTCCAAGAGACTCTGATCTGCAAATAATCATCTAAAAGCCAGAAGTAAAAATATGACTCAAGTGGTAGAACATCAACCCTAGGGAAAAAGCTGAGCAAGTGAGAGGCCTAAAGTTCAGGCCCCCTCTACTGGCATACACACACACACACACGCACACGCACGCACGCGTGCAAATCTTTGGGACTACCCCAAACTACTGAATCCATGTCTGCATTTTTATTTGACCCCTCAAGACTAGACTGTCTTCAACTTCTAAATCAACCCCACCTCCTACTGTCAGCATGTAACCCTTTGAGTCTATGTCTGTGCTGGATTGCACTGGCTTTCTCCCTACACAGTCCTGATCAGAGATGGGGTCAGCTGATTGCTGGTTGCAGATGAACAAGTAGCCTACTGACCGTGGAACAGAGCCAGGCTGGACAATATTTGCTGTGACTCAGCCAGAAACTGAGAACTATTTGTACTGGTTGACCTTGAACTTGTAACAGATACACTGTACTTTTGATTGCATGTGGGTGTGGGTGCCTTCGTCTTTTATTGCCAAGGGTCCTCTGAGGTCCACTCTCTCTGTAGACCCCCAGTTAAGCCTGAGTGGAAAGGACATCTAGCCTGTGACCCTTACCCTCCTTGCCTCTTTTCTGTTGTCAGCTATCTTGGATTGTGACTTAGGAGTCCATGGTGGGTGGGTATGGAGAAGCACTGTACCCCCTGACCTGTGTCATGGTGACTGTGTGTCCTGCTCTAGCTTGGAGCCTAGTCTCAGCTGTTCCTTTGCAGTTCTCTGTCCCTCATTCACCATTCCAAGTGTGTAATAAAAACCTGTCATCCATGTGTGATATTAATGTCTGACATGGTCTGGTTTTCCTGCCCTACCTGAGGAGGGAGGGGAGCTCAGAATGTCTGAGACTTTTTTCCTCACTGCTCACCATGCAGACGGGGTGTCCAGCAGGGGGAGCTCGCCGCCCAGGGTCAGCCTTTTCTGGGCAGTATAGGCCAGTTCCAGCTGGCCTCCCTTGCCTCCCCCTTCCTCCTCTTGGGTTGTGGCCCAGTGAAACTGTGGTTGATAACCCGTAGCCTCTCGTGGCTCCTGCACATATTTACGCTCTTGGTGGTTCCTCCTCCTCCTCCTCCTCCTCCTCCTCTTCTTTCTCCTTCTCCCACCTCTTTCTCCTTCCTCCTCCTCCTCCTCTCCTGTAAACTCGTAGCTGCCTTGCTCTGAACTGCCAGATTGTGCCCCAGCCCGCCTACCCGCCCTCCAGCTTACAGGTGTATGTGCAGTTTCCTTGGAGAAAGATTTAAACAAAACAAAACCGGAATTGCTTTGGGGCTGTGGTGCACAGGATTGCCCTGTGAAGGGCAGAGGAGCCCTTGGACTCAGAGGTGGTGGCAAGGCAGTGCCAGTATTAGGTAGACTACGGGGTGGTGTCCAGGCCAACTTTCACCCTCTGGCGTGGGAGGTCTCTGCTGTGTATACCTAGGGATCACAGCCTCGAGGCTAGTTGACTTTCTGCCCTTGTCTCTGCGCTGTAGAAACCCCCTTGGGGTGACGCTCATTTCCCAGGAATCAGGCCCAGATAGGACCTTCTTATCTCTACTCTCCTTGTCCAGGTGGCTGACCCATTCCCTTCTTTCTGAGCCTCAACTTCCCACACTTCCAGCAAGTGTGATTAGAGGGGGAGGTATTGGGGGTCACATGCCCAGACCAGCTCCAACTTTAACCCAGCTCTGTTACTGCCAGCACCTGATCTAAAGGGTCTGGTCCAACCCCCCTCCGCCTCAGCTAACATGTCTGGAAATTGAGGAAAATGGCAACAAAATGACTGATGAGAGGATTAAATGAGAAATCTTGTGGCAGGCTTGCGCTCAGCCCTGTTTAATGGAGTTAATAGTGGGCGGGGCTTCAAATTTGGGGATGGAGTGATGAGATCGCCACGTGAGGCTTTACTGATGGAATAATTAGTGAGACCCTAGAAAGTTCTGTGTAGTAGAAAGAGGATAAAGAGGCTTGGCTGAAGGCAGATCCCTCAGCTTTTGGTCCCTCCAACCTCTGGTCTGTTTCTGTCCTACACAGAGTTCCCCCGGGCCTAGACAAGTCAACCAACAAAGGCCCCCTTGTGCAGATGTTTGTTTTGGCGATGGACTTCCCCAGGAGCAGCTAGCTCCCCAGGGTGGGGGCCCAGCAGCCTGCAGGACCGCATTGTTTCGGGACTACATCGGTTTCTCCCCGTTTCTCCCCTGAACTCCAGAGATTTTGCCAATTAACTTTTTTTCAGACCTTCTTGTGGTTTGAGGATGAGCCAGGTCTGACGTTAGAGGGAGGGAGTTCTCACCTTGTTAGTATACTGAAGCTGTGGCTATGGTGGCATTCCATAATAAATGAAAACCGATTTTTAATTGAGCACTGGCTATGAGAAGAACTTATGGGACATTACATATAGACCACTTCCTGCAAGATAGATCTCACTACAGCCTCCTTCCTGAGAAGGGGGAACTGAGGGTTGGAGGACTCTTCTTCCTAGCCTATCTCCATCCCCTCTCTCCTCTCCATTTCTTTCTTTGGAGACAAGGTTTCCAGGATCTCACCATCCTTTAGCCTCATCCTTCCCAGGACTGGGATTGCAAGCATTCACCACCATGCCCCGCTTCAGAGTAGTCATAATATTTTTTATTATTTTATTTTTGTTTATTTATTTATTTTGGTCAGTCATGGGGCTCAAACTTGGGGCTTGGGCATTGTCCCTGAGCTCTTTTGCTCAAGGCTAGCACTCTACTACTTTGAGCCACCGTGCCACTTCTGGTTTTCTGGTGGTTCATTGGATATGAGTCTCACAGACTTTCCTATCCAGGCTGCCTTTGAACTGGATCCTCAGATCTCAGCCTCCTGAGTAGCTAGGATTACAGACAGACATGAGCCTCCAGTGCCCTGCCAGAGTAGTCTTTTTTTTTTCTTTTATTTTGTTGTGGTACTGGGGTTTGAACTCAGGACTTCATGCTTTGCTGGGCAGGAAATCTATCACTAGTTTCAGGCTAGTCTTAAAAATATGTCCCCAAGGGCTGGGAAGGTGGCTCAGTGGTAGAGCGCTTGCCTTGCATGCATGAGGCCCTGGGTTCGATTCTTCAGCACCACATAAGAAGAAAAAGCTGGAAGTGGCACTGTGGCTCAAGTGGTAGAGCGCTAGCCTTGAGCTGAAGAGCTGAGGGACAGCGCCCAGGCCCAGAGTTCAAGCCCACAACCGACAAAAAAAATAAAAATAAAAAAATAAAATATGTCCCCAAGGCTGTCTAGCTTCTAAAGGATGAAGCCAGAATTTGCATCCTAATCCCAAACCAAATCACTGAGACTTTATCATCAGTTGCCAAAGCCTTCTCTCTCTTGGATCCCCTGATGGATTCCATTGCCCCGAAGGAACTGGCCACTAAGCTGTAACTGGCTCTTCTGTCCCTCGTCATACCAAGCCCAGGTTGATGGTGGAGTCAGCAACCCAGCTCCGACATGGTCCCACTGGAACCCTTCCTGAACTTTGAAGGAAGGAAGAGTCTGAACACAAAGACCCACTTCACTACTTGGAGAGAGACACCGACACAGCCATCAGTGCAAGATGAGAGTGTAGATAGGCCTCGGCTTTTACAAGCATCGTTTATTATAAAGAAAAACCTACAGTTACTTCTTGAACAAAAGTTCAAGGCTCCAGGATTCACTCTGGAGCTGATCTGTCTTAAATACTACAGGGAGAAGGAAGAGGGCAAAACTGGCTGTGTTTACTTCTTGCCAGAGTCCCCGCCCCCCCCTTGTCCCTGGGGGAGGGGGGAAGGACACCTTTAAGAGAATGACTCTGGCAGGGAACCTTGGGGAATTTCTAGTCAGGCCTGCAGCAGCCCCAGGATGAATCCCGAGTCCTCTGCCCCTCCATACCTGGGGCAAAGTTCCAGGAAGTTTACCCCTTCTGTGAAGAGGTGAGCTCAAGTTCAATGTCTCTGCCTCTGGCACCAAGGAAACCGCCCTCATCACGTGGCTTCTAGAAAATGTGCTCCTCTAGGATTGGTCCAGGGAGCAGTCACAGGTAGAGAAAGTGAAGTATTTAAGCAGCAATTCAAACTCACCCTTGACCCTGTGCCCAGGGAGAAGGTGGAGTCCTTCTTGGCACCCTCTCTCTCCACTTCCCGCCAGGCCCCCTTCCTGCCCAGGCCCTGCCTTTCCCTCTCTTTCTCCTGGATGGTAGCTTCCATCCTGAACTGGAGAGGGTTTTGTACTGTGGTCAGGGGAAAGGGGGAGGAACCTGGGATTGCCCAGGCCTTAACACAAAGCAGAGGCACATAAATACAAACCTAAGAACAAGACATTTCCTGGCCAGCAGGCAACAACAACCTTCCCATGACTTTATCTAGGACCAAAGCGGGGGCCAGTGTGGTGAGCTCCTGTCTCAGGCCGGGCTGGTGACAGGAGGTTGGGAGGTGTGAGCATCCTCCTGGGCCCCCTTTACTGTCCTTTATCCTCTCGATCATCGAAGAGGCTGGGGTTCTCTGCCAGCATTGCGCGGACTTTTTTCTTCTCCTTGAAGCGGCCTGAATTAGAGACTTTCACGTGCTTGCCTTTTGTGTTCTTGTCCACAATCTTCTCCAAGCGGGTGTTAAAGTCGCTGGTGGGGCTTCCGGCCTCAGGCCGTGGGGCCTCTGCACCTCCCTCTGTTTGGGCATAGGTGTCAGGGATCTCGTAGAGCACCTTGGGAGTGGATTTCTTTTTCCGGAGGAAGGTCAGCTTCCACCACCCAACTTCAGTCATGCTGTTTCCTGACCTGAGGCTGGGCTTCCTGCTGCGGGGAGACAGGTCAGTGGGCAAAGCTGGTGAGTACCTTGGACCAGCCCTCTTGAGGCTCATTTATAATCACAGGCTAAGCTAGGCGATGGTGACTCATGCCTGTAATCCTAGCTACTCAGGAGGCTGAGATCTGAGGATCACATTTCAAAGCCAGCCTGGGCAAGAAAGCTGGTGAAACTCTTGTCTCCAATAAACCACCAGAAAACCAGCAGTGGTGCTGTGGCTCAAGTGATAGAGCTGTAGCCTTGAGCTGAAGAGCTGAGGGACAATACCCAGGCCCAGAGTTCAAGCCCCATGACGGACAAAAAAACAAAAAAAAAAAAAGCAGCAAAAGCAAGAAAGTCTATGAGACTCAAGACATTCCCAATGAAGCAGCAAAAAGCCGGAAGTGGAGGTGTGGCTTCAATGTTAGAGTGCTAGCCTTGAGTGAAAAGAAGCTAAAGGACAGCACCTAGGCCTTGAGTTCAAGCCCTACTACAGGCAGATTTGAAGGAAGGGCAGAATAAACCTTATGTTCAGGATTCAGGTGAGGCGTGTGATACAGTGCTTTCAGAGGCTCTGGGAAAGGGCTGTCAAAGTGAATATCAACAGAGAAGCTGCTGAGTCAGGCAGAGGGACCGTGTGATAAGCATATCCCATTCCCCTGCAGAGCTATAGGGAGCCTTGGGATGATCCCAAGACCCTCTGAGATATTCCATATCTTACCAGGTCACCTAGCAACCAGGGCTTTGATAAGCCCCTCCCACTGCTATCTGGGATGGGCAAACTGTTGACTGTTCATACAGACAGAAACACCTACTGCATATTTACAAAATTAAACAGAGCCTGGACTGGTGGCCCAGAGCATTGGGAAGCCTGAAGCAGGAGGATCACAAGTGTGAGGCCAGAAAAAGTTAAAGACAACTTGTGATATTCCAAGCTATTTGGAATTTCCAGCAATGACCCACAGGACTGAGTGGTGTGGAGCATTTGCTTAGAGGAAGAGCTGGGAAGTCCTGGGTCTTGTCTAGCCTCCTGATGCTCATTTTCCTTCTCCATCCCATCTAACCTTGACATTGAGCTCTACCATTGGTACCTGCTCATAGAGGTCGACATGTTTCACAAAGTAAAATTTAAAATAATGGCAATAATTATTAAGTAAGTAATGACTCCCTTTCCCCACCAAGCTGCTACAAGGATAAGAGTCTGAAGAGGAACTAATGGTCTGGAAGGCCAGGTGGAGCCCGGATGCCTAGTTGAGGTGAGCATCACAGGTAGCCCCTGCCATGACATGGACACACAGTGCAGTGGTACCCTGACATGCGCCGCCTCACTCCATAAGAAGGTGCTCCCTGTCCAACAGGCCTCCCCTTTCGCTCATTTTCACAAAGATGTTTATGAGCAAATAGGAATTCTGAGAGGTGGGTCGTTGGCATCTGAGTATATATGAGCTAGGCAGGGGACAGCAAACTAGAGAATTGTTAAGGGAGCAGAGTGACAATAAGTAAAAGTATTTCTGGCTGGGCACTGGTGGTTCACACCTATACTCCTAGCTACTCAGGAAGCTGAGATCTGAGGATCACTGTTCAAAGCCAGCCTGGGCAGGAAAGTCTGTGAAACTATTATCTCCAGTAAACCACCAGAAGACTGGAAGTGGAGATGTGGCTCCATGTGGTAGAGCACTAGCCTTGAGTATTTCTAGGGGCTGGGAAGGTGGCTTAGTGGAAGAGTACTTGCCTAGCATGCCTGAAGCCCTGGGTTTGATTTCTCAGCACCACATAAACAGAAAAGGCCAGAAGTGGCACTGTGGCTCAAGTGGTAGAGTACTAGCCTTGAGCAAAAGAAGCTCAGGGAAGTGCCTAGGTCCTGAGTTCAAGCCCCAGGACTGGCAAGCCCCAGTGTTTCTAGACTCCTCCTAGGCACAAGCTGTGACATATCTAGATGAGGGTGCAGAAGCCAGCAGACACCAGAAAACTATAGCTAGACAGGTAGCCACTCATGTAACTTTATCATCAATTTTTAAAACCTTATAAGTTGGGTGTTGTAGCTCACTCCAGTAAACCTGGTTACTTTAGACTCAGAGATTAGGTGCTTTTAGAGGCCAGCACAAATAAAATGTTTTGGAGACCCTATCTCAACAAATAAAAGCTGGGTGTGGTGTTATATTTGTACCTGTCAGCTATATAGAAAGTACAAACAGAGCCGGGCACCAGTGGCTCACCGCTGTAATCCTAGCTACTCAGGAGGCTGAGATCTGAGGATTGAGTTCAAAGCCAGCCCAGGTAGGGAAGTCTGTGAGACTCTTATCTCCAATTAACCACCAGAAAACCAGAAGTAGTGCTGTGGCTCAAGTAGTAGCACACAGGTTGGGATGGTGGCTTAGTGGTAGAGTGCTTGCCTTATATGCATGAGGCCCTGCGTTCAATTCCTCAGTACCACATAAGCTGAAAAAACCAGAAGTGGCGTTATAGCCCAAGTGGTAGAGTGTTAGCCTTGAACTGAAGAGCTGAGCGACAGCACTGAGGTCCAGAATTCAGGCCTGGTACAGTAGAGTAGTAGAGCACTTGCCTTGAGCTGAAATGCTGAGAAACAGCACCCAGGCCCAGAGTTAGAGCCCCACAGCTGACAAAAAAAAAAAGTACAAATAGGAGGATCACAGTCCATGCTAAGTTGGGCATATTCATAAAATAACAAGCAAAAATGGCTGAAGGAACGGTTCAAGTGATAGCACACCTGCCTAGCCAGCACAAGGTCCTATGCTAAAACTTCACTACTGCCAAGAAGAAGAAACAAACTGATGCTGAGTACTCTATTTCCTGCAAGCAATAATGGGAGTAGCTTCATCATTCCCTTTGCTATGAAGGACTGAGTCTTCTAAAACTCATGAAGACTGAAAATTTATTTCTGGAATACAAATGCCCAAACTTATCCTCAAAAGCCAAAAACTAGCCGGGTGCTGGTGGCTCACGTCTTTCTTTAATCCTAGCTACTCAGGAGGCTGAGATCTGAGGATAGTGGTTCAAAGCCAGACAGAATAGGAAAGCCCATGAGATTCATATCTCCAATTAACCACCAAAAAAATAAAAAAAACAGAAGTAGAGCTGTGGCTCAAAGTGGTAGAACAGTAGCCTTGAGCAGAAAAGTTCACGAACAGTACCCAAGCCTAGAGTTCAAGCCCCAAGGTGGACTTAAAAAAAAAAAAGTCAAACTGTTTCAAAGGTTTCATAGCTCCAAGGCTTATACTGTGCTTATACTCCAAGGCTTATACTTTAAGTCCTTGGAGAAAGCTTAAGTTACCAGCCGGTGACACTTCACCCTCAAGTAACAGAGAGAACCACATGGCAACAGGGGGCATCGCTCTGTATTCTTCCCTATGAATTTTGTTTTGAATGAGTGTAACATACCCTTCGTTTTATTGTCTTTTCCACTTATTGTAGTTCTTTGGGGTTTTGGTTTGTTTGTGTGTTTTACCATTCCTGAACTCAGGGCCTGGGCACTGTCCCTGAGCTTCTTTTACTCAAGGCTAGCACTCTACTACTTTGAGCCACAGTACCACTTCCAGCCTTTTCTGTGATTAATTAGAGAAAAGAATCTCATGGACTTTCTTGCCTGGGCTGGCTTCAAACCACAATCCTCAGATCTCAGCCTCCTGAGTAGCTAGGATTACAGGCATGAGCCACTAGTGCCCTGCTATAGTTAAGACTTTTATGACACTGTTTTAAATCTTTTCATAGTTATGCTTCTGCTTCATGAATTTTCTCAAGCTGTTATTATAGTAATTCTAAATAGTAACACACACACACACTGAATCTCACTTTTCATCCCTTAATAAAAGGAACAAAATCATTAGATGATAAACATGGCTAGATCTTATTTGGAGAATTTTGACAGAAACATGTATCAATTAGAGTATGTTTTCCTCTGCATTGAAAATGTAAAGTGCTTCCTCTTTTCCCTCCAATTGGCTATTGATCTTTCAGCTCTTAGACAAGCTAAAGAATTCTTTTTTTTTGGGGGGGGGGGTCAGGTCATGGGGCCTGAACTCTGGGCCTGGGCACTGTCCCTCAGCTCTTCAGCTCAAGGCTAGTGCTCTACCACTCGATCCACAGCACCACTTCCAGCTTTTTTTCGTTTTGCATATGTGGTGCTGAGGAATTGAACCCAGGGCCTCATGCATGCAAGGCAAGCACTCTACCACTGAGCCACTTTCCCAGCCCGCCAAGCTAAAGAATTCTTATGATTTTCTTAAGTTCTGACTACATTCCCTTATTCAATAAAAGTAATTTTGGGGTTGTTAAAAAAAATGGTACCAGTGGCTCATGACTGTAATCCTAGCAACTCAGAAGGCTAAGACCTAAGGATCATGGTTCAAAGCCAGCCTAGGCAGAAAAGTCCCTGAGAGATTCTTATCTCCAATTAACCACTCAAAAACTGGTAGTGGAGCTGTGACTCAAAGTGGAAGAGCGCTAGCCTTGAGGAAAAGAGCTCAAGGACAGTGCCCAGGCCCTGAGTTCAAGCCCCACACCAACAAAAATTTAAAACAAAATAAGTAAAGGCTAATTTGGTACTGTGGGCATAGCTCAGAATAGAACATTTGCTTGTGCAAGGCTCTAAAGGCCCTGTGCTCAATTCTTTTTTTTTTTTTTTTTGTCTGTGGTAGGGCCTAGGTGCTGTCCCTCAACTCTTCAGCTCAAGGCTAGTGCTCTATCACTTGAGCCATAGTACCACTTCTGGTTTTCTGGAAGTTTATTGGAGACAAAAGTTTCATGGACTTTCCTGCCCAGGCTGGCTTTGAACTGTGATCCTCAGATCTCAGCCTACTGAGTAGCTAGGATTACAGGTGTCACTGGTGCCTTGCTCATCACTGTTTTGTGAAAAAACCAGAAAGAAATATTCCAAGTGATGTGTGTGTGTGTGTGTGTGTGTGTGTGTGTGTGTGTGTGTGTGTTGGTCGTGGGGCCTGAACTCTGGGCCTGGGCGCTGTCTCTCAGCTCTTCAGCTCAAGGCTAGTGCTCTATCACTTGAGCCACTGTGCCACTTTCAGGCTTTTTCTGCTTATGTGGTGCTGAGGAATCGAACCCAGGGCCTCATGCATGCAAGGCAAGCACTCTACCACTGAGCCATCTTCCCCGTCTTCCAAGTGATTATTAATGGGTAGCTTTTGTTAAAGGAATAAAGAATGCTGTTTTCTCCCCCCTGGTTTTCTGATTTCCAGACTTTCCATAATAAGTATGGATATTTGGAGGGGGGCAGGAGAGGGGAGATGGGAAGGGATGGGGAGGGGAAACAAAGGAGGAGGCAACAATGCCTGATAAGAAATGTACTCATTACCTTGCTCATGTAATTGTAACCCCTTTGTACGGTATTTTCACAATTAAAAAAATAAGTATGGATATTTTTAGGAGGCCAATTGCATTTAGGAGTATATCAAATTCAGGAGAAATGAAAGCATGATTCTGATCTAGACTTGGAGTGCGTCACATTATCCTGGGCTGCCCCTCGCTGCTGCATCTCTGGTCCTCCATATTCAGACCTTTTTTCCTAGAACACTCAAGGAGAGGACTCCTTCCTGCTTTGTGGTCCAGGAAACAGACCCCATGTTGCCTGCTCTGTCCTTCCAACTAGACTCCAGTAACAGCAAAAGCCAAGGGGAGATCTTGTAGAGCTGGCACTTGGAGTGTGGAGGAGAGGGGGAGAGAAATACTTGCAGGCCTCTGGAGAGGTGAGCGCGCAGAGGGACAGACTGAGAAGTTTGCTTTGGCAGCATGCCCTGCCTGGGCTTAGCACCTCCTTGCACAGAACTTGATGTTCCAAATGGGTTTCTGGAAGTTGTTGGAGGAGGGTAGGAAAGAAAGGACAGGGTACTCCCTTTGTCTGTGGGTTCTCTAGCCGCCGCTTTGGCAATGTGTCATTCCTCCCCACCCCTCAGTGCCCATCTGGAGCTACCAAGGTCATTGGACTAGATTGGGAAGATCCAACTCCTGAACCCAGTCTAATCACTCCATTTATAGCCTTATGCAAGAAAGTAGTTTCTGCCTTTGCCCGTTAAAATACACCTGGTTTAATGGTTGCTATATTTCAAGTTAGCTTCTGCAGGGCCTAACTGTCCTAGGAGTAAACTGTCCTAACAAGGTCACAAGGAACTTGTTAGGAAACCATAGCAACAGAAGTAGCCTTGTATCCAGCCTTGGGGCCCTACACCAAGACAGGAAGGCAATGGTGCCCTTATGTTCTGGATCTGGGTTCTCTAGGATGCTCCCTTCTGGGTCTTTCTGTCCCTCTGTCCTGGAGGACAGCTGAGCTCCAAAGCAGGTGTTTGCCCCTTGTGGCAAGCCTAACATATGGAAATCTGAATTTGCAAAACATCTATATTAGCAGATTCATCTGTGTTGTGTACAGTAACCCAGCTACAGGAATCTAAATAATGAGTATAAAAGCCAGTGTAAAATCTGTTCTTTTTGAAAAGGTGATATTGTTATCAAAGTTTCCAGATCTCCAAAGTGTAAAAAAAAATCAAGATGTCTCCTGTCGTGTGTCCATGTTCAATCACAGAAGGCCAGAGGAGACTTGGAAGGGCATGGTGGGGGGTAGGGGTGGGGAGGGGGTACAAGAGGAGGGCTTGAGGTTTCACACAGATTCTGCCTTTTTTGACCTGTGGTAGGATCTACAGTCTGTTTATGCCCGGCCCTGAGTGGCCTTGCTGAAGGCTGAAGGCTGGGGGCTGAGGACTTTCTCTAGAGCCATGCATTTGTGGGGTGATAGAAATCAGATCCTGAGGGTGCCAGTTTCATATCTGCTGTTTGTATAGCTTTGGGGCCCATAAAAGTCCCTACCCATGGGGCAGCCAACGGCTACACTGTATGACCAGCACAATGGCAGGCTTTGGGTGCTCCAGGACAGACCCCCCACACCAAAGTACATTCTGTGAGCTGTTCTAAAGGATTCTAACCAGACAGGGCCAGGCCCCTTCTGAGCAGGGAAGTTAACCATTGACTGAGGCGGGGGTGGTGGTGTAGGTAAGGAATCAAGTTAACTTCTGGGTCATGAGACTAAACCTGGAACCCCCTTCCTCTTCTTCTGCAGAGCCCCCTAAGGGTCCCTTGTCCACCCTGGATAAGACCGAGGTACCCTGGGTAGGAATGGGGAGATGCTTCTATCAGAAAGAAGATAAACGGTCCAGCCTGGCTGCGGGGAGGGGGTGGGGGTGGGTAGAGGGAGGAGGTCGAGGGGAATGAACTTGAGCTCAGTACAAGTTAATAGTAAAACTTTCTCTGCAGAAGCTCTGTTGGAGACTGGTATGGCCTCTAGTCCAGAGAGGGGATGGAGATAGTGCCTGGGGTCCCCCAGCCCACTGGGCTGGTCAGCCCTGGAGGCAGAACTGCAAACCCTGATTGAGAACCATGCCTTGGTTTTCCCACCCATCCATCAGCCCTCTGCTTGTACCTGTAAATCCTGACTGCTCCGGGCTGGAGGCGAGACCTTCCCTAGAGAAGGAGTTGGATGTAGAAGCTGCCCTGGGAGGGTGAGACTGGGGGAGGAGAACGTGCCACGCAGGCCAGGCTCAGCCAGGAGAGGTGCGCAGAGCAGCTGCACGTCAGGTGCAGGAGAACAGGTGCAAGAGCGGGATACCTGCTCTCTGCGGCTCCCGGAGTCAAGGTGAACCTGAAACCCAGCCCCTCCCGGCTAAGTAAACAGAAGCAGAGGCCGCCTCAGCCTCATGAATATTCATCACCTCAGAAATCCAATCCCAGCGCCCTCAGTGTCCACCAGAAGCTAAGGTCCTCCTGGGACCGCCAGGCTAGAGAACCGAATCCCAAGGGACATCTGGGGGGCGGGGAGGGGGGGGGTGTTCAAGAACACTAAAGCTTCTCTGAGTTTCCCTGTTCTCTAGTATCTGGTTGCACCCCCCCCCCCAGCCGCCATCAGCTTCCCTCTCCAATATGGACCACCCTCTGGATATTGCCCCAGGGCACAACAGGGAAAGGGTTAAGGGGTGCTGCTCCTGTGGCAGGCTGGGCATCTCCGCTCCCTTTGAACTCCCTGAATCGAAACCAATCCCTAGTTAGACTGGTTGGCAGACCGGTTCCCAGGCTGTCTGCTCCCTTGCTTCAAGTCCCAGTGCTACAACTGCAGCCACTGAGCGAAAGACCTAGAGTCGCCCTTCCTGGCCTGAGGAGCCCTACCCGCAAGATCTCCTGGCCTTCCCCCATCTCCAGGCCACCACAACACAAATGCCCTCATTCCCCTCTTCCTGCTCAGAGGTGGGCTTCAGGCCTATGCAGAATTCCACATGTGGGCAGACAAGCATTGTAGTTCTTTCTGCCTAGAGTTGTATTTTTCTCAAACTTAGTCTCCTCACACCAAAATATCATCTGTCTCAATGTCTCTCCCAAACTTTCAGTAGTTCAATGAGAGGGATTTACTGGCCATGGTAAAATTGGCAGAGCGTGGGACAAACTCTCCTTAAAGAGGGAGAAATGATGCCTGACCCTTGTGGCTCACATTTGAAATTCAGGAGGCTGAGATCTGAGGATCGTGTTCAAAACCAGCCCTGGCAGGAAAATCCGTGAGACTCCAATCTCCAGTTAACTACCAGAAAAGCTGAAAGCGGTACTGTGGCTCTAAGTGGTAGAGTGCTAGCCTTGAGCACAAGAGCTCAGGGGATATATTTTTACTTTTTAAAAAATTTTGTTGTTGTTGTTGTCAGTATTAGGGTTTGAACTCAGGGCCTGCGCACTGTCCCTGGGCCTCTTGGTGCTCAAGGCTAGCACTCTACCACTTGAGCCACAGTGCCACTTTCAGTTTATGAGTGGTTAATTGGAGAAAGAGTCTCACTGTTTTCTGCTCAGACTGGTTTCGAACTTGCCATCCCCATATCTCAGCCTCCTGAGTAGCTAGAATTACAGGCGTGAACCACCGACACCTGGCTTAAAAATATTTTAATTGTTATTTTAAAGGTGATGTACAGAGGGGTTACAGTTATATGTCACCCTTTCACTATATTTTGACTCTTTTTTTTTTTGCCAGTCCTGGGACTTGATCTCATGGCCTGGGCACTGTCCCTGAGCTGCTTTTGCTTAAGGCTAGCACTCTACCACTTGAGCCACAGTGCAACTTCTGGCTTTTTCTGTTTATGTGTTACTGAGGAATTGAACCCAGGGCTTCATGCATGTTAGGCAAGAACTCCACCACTAAACCACTTTCCCAGCCCTATATTTTGACTCTTAACTAGTTAACTCTCTCAAGACTCTCTCTCCCCATCTACTTGTGCTGGGTCCAGCACAAGTATAGCCTTAGAATCCTATCTGTCTCCATCCCTGACTCTAGATATTCCTTGGGTGGACAAGGCCTCCAAAGGCTGGCCACAGCCCGTAGTGGAATCCCTTGGCCTGGCCCTCCTAGATGGGGCTTCTGTATCTCTCCAGCCTCCTTTCCTCCCCCATCCAACTCTCCCTAGACACCAGGCCCTTCTTTGCTTATCTTCTTGGGCACAGAGGCTGTTTAGGAGAGTGAGATTAGGAGTGCTTACTGTGCTCTGGGCTAGGAATGGCCTCCCTACCTATTGTAACCCAAGACAAACTCCTATTCTTCCCTTAAAACTGAACTCATTATTTTACCTCTCATTCCATCAAGAATTTTCTTGTTCTCCTTACAGCTTGCTTATATATGTTTAATTAATATGATATGTACATGATTCATTATGCACATATATATATATATATAATCATATATAACGGCCTCTTCTTCATGTGTTTGCTTCCCTTAAGAATTTTAGCTCTTAGGGGAGGCCGGGGAGAAAAATAAAAGAATTTTAGCTCTTGGGGCTGGGAAGGTGGCTCAATGGTAGAGCGCTTACTTTGCATGTCTGAGGCCCTGAGTTCGATTCCTCAGTACCACATAAGCAAAAACAAAAAAGCCGGAAGTGGTGCTGTGGCTCAAGTGGTAGAGCGCTAGCCTTGAGCTGAAGAGCTGAGGAACAGTGCCCAGGCCCAGAGTTCAGGCCCCACGACCAGGCCCCCCCCCCAAGAAAAAAAAAGAATTTTAGCTCTTTAAGCCCAAAACTATACATCACTAACACAGACCCCAGGGGTTTTTGTTGTTGTTTGTTTTGTTTTGTGCCAGTACTGGGGCTTGAATTCAGGGCCTGACTGCTGTCCCTTAGGTTTTTCTGCTCAAGGCTGGCACTCTACCATTTGAGCCACAATTCTACTTCTGGCTTTTTTTGTTGTTGTTGTTGGTCATGGGGCTTGAATTCTGGACCTGAGCGCTGTCCCTCAGCTCTTCAGCTCAAGGCAAGCACTCTACCACTTGAGCCACAGCTCCATTCCCAGTTTTCTGGTGGTTTATTGGAGATAAGAGTTTCACAGACTTTCCTTCTCAGGCTGGCTTTGAACCACAATCCTCAGATCGCAGCCTCCTGAGTAGCTAGGATTACAGGTGTGAGCCACCAGCACCTGGGTACTTCTGGCTTTTTGGTGGTTAGTTGGAGGTAAGAGTAAAATGGACTTTCTTGCCCAGGCTGGCTTCAAACCATAATCCTCAGACCTCAGTTGTTTTTTTGTTTGAGTTTTGTTTGTTGTTGTTTTGTATGTGGGTATGTGTGTGTGTGTGTGAATCCTGTTTCCTTTTTAAAAATTCATTTTATTTTATTTTTTGTCAGTCCTGAGGCTTGAATTCAGGGCCTATGTGCCATCCCTGAGCTTTTGTACTTAAAGCTAGCACTCTACCATTTTAAGCCAGAGCACCATTTCCTGTTTTCTGTTGGCTCATTGGAGATAAGAGTATTACAGGTGGGGAGCTAGTGGCTCACACCTATAATCCTAGCTAGTCAGGAAGCTGGGCAGCCTCCTGGCCAGCCTGGGCAGAAAAGTCCATCTGTAAGACTCTTATCTTCAATAAACCACTAGAAAACAGGAAGTGGCCCTGTGGCTTCAGCTGTAGAGCGCTCACCTTGAGCTGAAGAGCTGAGGGACAGCGCCTAGGCCCAGAGTTCAAGCCCCATGACCAACAACAACAACAAAAAAAAGGTTTCCAGTACTTCCAGGTTGGCTTCAGACCATCATCCTCAGATCTCAACCTCCTGTAGTGTTAGCCACCAGCACCTGGCTTAATTTTTTTTTTTTTAATTTTTTTGTCAGTCGTGGGGCCTAAACTCTAGGCCTGGGCACTGTCCCTGAGCTCTTCAGCTCAAGGCTAGCGCTCTACCACTTGAGCTACAGCCCCACTTCCAGCTTTTTCTGCTTATGTGGTGCTGAGGAATCAAATCCAGGCCCTCATGCACACAAGGCAAGCACTCTACCACTGAGCCACCTTCCCAGCCCCTGGCTTAATTTTTTAATGGCTATTATAAAGGTGACATTCAGAGGGATTATCATTATGCAAGTCAGATCATGACTTGTACATTTCTTTTTGGACATTGTCACCCCTTCCCTTGCTCTCTCCCAGTTTTTCCCTTTTGTCCCCACCCACAAGTTGGATAGTTTATTTTCAACATAGTGTCTAGTAAGTATTGCTGCTGCATTCATTCATCCTTTGCCCTCCATTTCTGTGTCCAACCTTACCCTCCAAAGACAGATAAACAAACAAGACAAAAAGAAAGAGCAACAAAGAAAGAAACCTAGTGGTTTCCATTTCCTGAAGTTCATTTCAAGAAACATTATTGTACAGAGGCACAAAGGCACAGAGCCAACCTCCATTTTTTTGCCTCCAAAACTGAGCTTAGGGAGGCAGCACTGTTTTCCCAGCCCCACAGAAAGAGCCCCAGTGAGAATTGTAATGTGAGGCCTACCTGTGGCCCATCCTTCCTGAGGGCCACCACAATAGAGGTGGTGCTCAGGATAGAGGTGGGCTCTGGACCAGTGGGAGGGGAGGAGTACTTCCGGCAGAGAGAGACCTGCCCAGCCCTGGCTTTCAGGGGATTTCTTCTGGGAGTAGCAATAAAAGAAGCCGACTTTGTGATAAGATTGTGAGCTATGAATATAATGCCCTCCACACAGCTACTTTATTGCTTGATAAAAAGGAGCACCTTTAAGCACCCCTAAAGCTAGGTTTAAAGTATGATTACATCATATACCAGATGTGTCTTTGTTGCACAAAGAAAAGGAAGTTTACTTAAACCATCTTTGAGGACCTCAGGCACAGCCACGAAGCCCATTGGGTTATAGTCCAAACTGGCTCCACATTTCCTTCCATGTACTCAGTTCTGCCCAGGGAGCAGTAGTAGGTTCTGCTAGGTTTCCCCTAACAGGAAATGCATTGTCCTCAGCAATCACTCTTCTCTGCAAAGCCAGGAGACTGGAGATCCTGCAGGTGCCCAGCCTGGTCTAGGTGAAGAACAGAACAAGGTCAAAGATCAGTGGCTCACACTGGCACCGGAGGCTCACACCTGTAATCCTAGCTACTCAGGAGCCTGAGATCTGAGGATCATGGTTCAAAGCCAGCCTGGCCAGGAAAGTCTGTGAGACGCTTACCTCTAATTAACCACCAGAAAACAGGAAGTGCTATGGCTCAAAGTGGTAGAGTACTACTAGCCTTAAGCAAAGAACTCAGGGACAGCACCCAGATCCCCTTGGCCTACAAAAACAGTCTCATGTGGCTACCCAACGTACAGCTGAGTGGATGGCAGGGGGGCAGCAGCTGCCTTCTGATATGAGGTAG